TGTGTTTGCGACAGGAAATTAACAACAACATCTCAACAAAAAATACCCGCAATTCGGAAGGTAATTTGTTAATTTAATATCTTTAATTTTCTGAGAGATTTTACTGACAAAAAATAAGTAGGGAAAAATTCATAAACAGAAACGTTGGACGAGATTTCGGAAATCCTTGTCAATAGGTACAAAAAATGACGTGTCATATTACTTTTTGAAATGTGCGCCATTTCAAATTTGAAAACGGAGGTTTCACTCTTAAAGCGCATCAAATAATGTTTCCCGTCCACACTTGACTTCGCCGGAGGAATTTAAAAACGCAGCAATCACCGGTCATTTTGGATCTGTGTTTGAGGAGACCTCGGTCAGAGAAATCGTGACGGCATCGTTTTCAAAAAGCTCCATTTTCAAAATGTTTTCCATCCACACGAGAACGCAAAGCCGGCGTTTTGAATTTACTCCGGAGCGCTTTCGAAAAGCTCCGTTTTGGTGACGGATTAGTGTGAACGGTAGGCCTAACCGTAGAAATAAAGCTCCGTTTTCAAACACCTCCAGTGTAGTGTGGATGGGGCCTAAGCGATGAAAGAGATCGACTCCGCTATAGACCAAAGAAAGTCTTTTTTATCCAAGTATCCTAAATTACATTTACTCAAACTTCCCGAAATGCAGAACATCGTCAACAGACACAATTTCTGGAACTTTCTCAGTGATTTTGTTTAATTTATAGCCGAGTGGTTAGGGCGCCGGACTTGAAATCCGGAGGTCGCGGGTTCAAGCTGGAGTTGTTTCTCGGTAGACCACAGTTCAAGTCCTCGGCCGCGCTCGTAAATAGCCAACTGGTCTGCCTCCCGCCAGTAGGGATTTTTAACCATGTTATGTTCATTTGAATTATTTATTTCATTATTTGGTTTCATTGGCTCTGAAAAGCCCCATTGGGAGAGTGGTCAATTAAGATATTTATTTTATTTTATTTTATTTTTTATGCATCCATCTAAAAACCTTTACAACAATACAACAAGCTAAGTATTTTATTTTTCGTACCTCTTTTATTTCGTTTCAAACTCGATTTTACAAGCGGAGTACCTGTCCGCGAATATTCGGTATTTCTAGAAAATATTTAAGCCGAGGGGATATCCGAAAGTGACAAGTATTCAATATTGTCCTTGAATATTCCAGAACTGTTTCTTTACGAGTTCAGTCTAGGTTCCAATCAGTATAAATTCAATTTCACTTTTTCAGGCCCAGACCATTCAACGCCGGAGAAATTTGAAAACGACGTTTTCACTCTGAAAACGCATCAAATATTTCCTGTCCACACTACGC